GAAAATTTAAGGGGTAGTTATATAATAATTTTGGACGATCTCGGGCGGTCGGATACTTATGACCGCTACTGTAATTACCATATCTTTTACTAAATTAAATTATAATAATTATTATTGAAATAAATTACACACTAATAATTTTTTAGTTATTCTATTTTCTATACATAATCACATTTTTTTTTACAAAATTAAATTATACATAAAATACATAAAATTAAATTTTTACATGTTACTATACCTCTGATTTATTAGATGACTAAGGTGTTATATTGTGATAATCTGCAGCACATAACATTGTTTTCCATGCTTTCAATTTCTGATCACTAAATTCATACTCGTTTGGATAAAGTTTTTCAAGACTAGACGTAAATTCAATTATTGGATTTTCACTTTTAGCCTAAGATTCAAAGAATTGATACCATTTTATATTTGCAAATGTTCAACATTTAAGATTGTAATCAAATACAGGTTTTAATAAAGAAAAAATGTGCCAATTATCTGGTAAGCATGTAGGTTTTGAATTCTCTTGAATAAATTTTTTTGTAAAGAAATTTTCAAGGCCAAAAAGTTGGATTCCCTTATATTGTTTTATAAACTTTGAAATTTTCCATACTTCATTTGAAGAACTGGCTACAAACCGTTTTTGAACTTTGTAATCTTAATAGATTTCAAGTGTACAATTTTTATCACTAATTGTAGATACAAATATTGCCAATTTATCAAGATACTTATTATTGAGTGAAGCTTTGTATCCTAATCTACCATTATTCCAATCTTCACGTAATGAAACGCCAATACCATAAACAAAAATTAGATATTTTTCAAGAAAAAAAGAAAAAGGAAAAAAGGAATATTTTGAGATAATTGTGAAATTATATTTTATCATTCTATTCTATTATAACTGGACCAGAAAAACGCATTTTTTTTTGAAATATACTAGTATATAGATTCAAAATTGCAGCAGAAGAACTATTTTCTACATTGTTTGAAAAAAGGCCTGAGTACAAATAAATCCAGAAGCAAAAGAGTTTTCAGAATTTCCTAATAAAATAGTGATATAAAAGTCTCTTTCATTTATAGAAGGTAATCATGGGTATCTGAATGATAAGTATTTTTTGTTTATTTATTTTATTTACATGTTTACATATATTTCTAATTTAAGTATTTGTTTAAGTTATAAATGGATGTCGATCACAATAATAAACAAAAATAGTTAAAACAAAAGAATTAAATGCTAAACAATATGGAGCAATTCTTTATGACCACAAATGAGGTGATTCATATTAAAAAATTGCTGACATCATTCAATATGGTAAAACAACTATCTATGATGCGATAAAACATTTTAAAGAAACTGGTTTTGCAATACTGAAAAAACGTTGTGACCTGAAGCCACTTTTTAATTCAAATGCACAATCTTCACTCAAAAAGATTGTTACATAAAATTCGAAGCATCGTCGCCTTACCACTCAAAAAATTCAAGAATTATGGACTAAAAAAAAGAAAGTTTCAACTGTTACAATTTGTCAGACTATTAAAAAAGTTAGCTTACGTTCGTGTGTTATCCATTCTAAACTATTAATTTCTAAAAATAATAAAGAAAAAAGATTGGCTTAGGCATTGAAATGAAAAGATTAGACAATTGCAAAATGGAAGAAAGTTATATAGTCTGATAAATCAACATTTAGCTAATTTTCACAAGGTCATAGCTTACGTGTGTAGTGATACACTAGAAGAAGAATTTGACCCTTCTTGTTTAACTGTTACAATAAAGCATAGTTCCAGTCGAATGTTTTGGAAATGCTTTTTGTGGTATAGGCTGAAACCTCTTGTTCCTCTTTGTGAATCTGTAACAAGACAAAGATATGCAAAAGTGTTACAAAGGCATGCTATTCCTTCAATTTACAAATTAGTTCCTCACAAACAAGAAATTTTTCAAGAGGATAATACCTCACTTCATCGAGCAAAGATTTTCACTGATGTTTGTAACGCCTCTAAGATTTCTATGTTACCTTAGCCTGCACAAAGCCCTGATTTAAATCCTATTGAAAATCTTTGGAATAAAGTTGATAAGAAACTTTGTAACTTGCCTAATCAACCTAAAATGTGAAAGATTTAGAACATAAGGTAAAATATGCTTGGCGTTCAATTCCATTTGAGTATATTCAAAATTTGGTTGAAAGTATGCCTGTCACATTCAAGCATATATAGCAGCTAAAGGTGGTTCAACAAAGTATTAGTTTTTATTTTTTTTTAATAAAATATATAGGAAATATTCAGAACAAATAAATTTTTTGCTTATTTTAAAAAAAAAGTTAATATAATAAGTAAATTCAAATAGTTTAATTAATCGTTCAGGTATCCATAATCACCCTCTGTAGAACAACTTTTGTGATTTGACTAATACGAATCAAAAAGTAATTTGAGATTTCATTTTCTTTATTGTCACTATTTTTTTATTATCAAAAATGTGAATATAGCCTATAGTGTAAATCTAATAGTAAAGAACCTACTACTAGCAGGGTAATAACAAATTTGCGAGTTTTAGACATCATAAAAATAAGACGACTTTGAGATTCAAAAACAGTATATTTTTTATATGTTACTTATCCCCAATTTTTATAGTAAATAGCTATATGTGTCACTGCAAATCATATTCAGATTGGCAATTAACAATAATAATTATAAATATATAATTATTTACTATATATTTATTTTCTTTAATTACTTCATTTTAATTTAATTTATAGAGTTTTAAAAATAACTTGTATAAACTCATATATTTGATTTGTATGATTGTATATAATTGTAAATTTTAGTTATACATAATAAATAAGTACTTTAAATTAAAGGTATATAGAATAATTTTTACTTAATCTCAATTTGACTTATTAGGAACACTGTTAGTGATAATCCGTTTGCGCAACTAAATGACTGCGCCAACTAGCATCACCAATGATCACCAGGAAAATCGTGA